GCGCCCCTGTTGTGAGGCTTTGTAGCGGAGGGTGAACCCCACGAAGCTGATACAAAGATATCTCTCTCTCGCACTCTCTCTCTCTCTCTCTCTCTCTCTCTCTCTCTCTCTCTCTCTCCTTCTCTGACACTCTCTCCCACTCCCACTCTTTTTCACAAAGTAAAGAAAGAGGGGTTGCGCCCTCTCTCTCTCTCTCTCGTTTCTTCCTCAGGAAAGCTCTCTCTCTCTCTCACTTTCTTTCTGTCTTATTGCGAGAGTAAGGAAGGCGTTTCCCCCTTTACGTTCAAGTGCACCCATTCTTGGAGCGGAAACGGCACACTCTCTCTTCCTCTCCCTCCTTCGTTCCACTGAGCCAAAGAGCAGCACACACCATACGCACCGCCCCGGCAAACACCTGCATGCTAGAACAACAAGAAAGTAGACACACTCAGGAATTTTCCGTGGAGCCCAACCACCGGCAGCTCTTGCAGACACCAATGCCGAAGCAACTGGATCAGAACGATGCATGGTGTCGACAACGCGATAAAATAGAGGCCCATGTCGACCCTCATCCATCCAGAAAATGCACAAAAAAGTACGACCGCATAGTCTGAGAGTTGAAAGTTAAGGTGAGCCGACGCCCTTGCATGTGTCGGCTCCACAGTGGACATGGGACGCTTGCACTGCAAGTGGGTCCTGTTTGTTCCCCGATGGCCCTCACAATTAGCACACAACGTACCAAAACCACGAACAGACTCTGTCTCTCTCGGCGATCTCTTTGCTTGTGTCGTCGATGGGTTACAAGGGGCCCCAGTGGTGTGGTTCTGTACTGGCTGCTGCTGGAAGCACGCACACAAAGCCTTGCTCCTGACGTGCTGACGGAAACAGGTACCACTGCAGCCTCCGGTGGGACGTGACGTGGACCACTGTCCTGGACGCCTTCAACTCAGCGTCCACCATCTTCAGGTAGGTAATGATCTCGCAAGCATGGCGCTCACTAGCCGACGCCCGCTTCCATCCAATTGCCGCGCGAACACCTGGCCTGACCCAAGGTTGGAGGGTGCTCCCCCGGGAATTGATCTAACACATAGTGCCCGTCACCTAAGCAGCAGAAGCTCGCACGAAAACGCACCGAATGCTTCATACTCATACGTCATCGGTGCACTCGATTAGATGTGCTTGCAACTTGCAATCGATGTTGAACCAATAGAAACCGGAAAATGTTCGATCGTTCCGGGCAAGATACAACCGTGTACTGCTATTGCTACAACAAACAACGTGAGTGAAGGTGATGTTCTTGGTTTTGCTTTTGGCCATTCCAACAGGATTCCAACAGCAGGCACATCTGGAATCATGCAAAAAATCACCATGCCCCTACAATGTCTCCGTTGGGCAATGACTGTCAAGCATGCACGGGCCCTTTGCAGACTGATTGACCTGGTTGCGCAAATGCCCTGTAACTTATTATCGGGGCACAAGCACCTTGCATGTAATCGTTGCGTTCGTTGACCAGCTCTGCCATTGCGTGTTTGTTGCTCTGACTGTATTGTTGCTACAGCAATGGGCCACGGCTGCGTCATCAGGACACACACAGTGCGCATGGAGCTCGATAATAAGTCTGTGATATAAACGCTGTCGGCAGTGATCTTGGATGTTCTCTTGGTAAACAGGATCTCGACTCTCAGATCGCTCCTTTTGCACATGTGGGCACGGTGCACAATCGTGCCAAAAAGCCACTTTGTGGCCTTTCTGCTCATGCCGGACGGGCGAATTCAGCCCGCGAGTCGCGGATCTGGAATGCAGGAGCTCGACCCTCAAACCGCTCCTGTTTCACATGCGGGCATGTTGCACAGCCACGCCGCACGCCAACAGGCCACTTTGTCGCCCTTCCGCCTCCACCACTTACCGCAGGCGATCGCCACAGCAGAAGAACTATCGGTGAGGCCGCACTCCTGCTGCTTCCAAGCTCCGAGCTCCCTGCAAAGCACGAGCCCTAGCCGAAAAAATCTCTGCTTGACCCATGGCCAAAACAGAGGAGGAACAGGACGGCATTACCTCCTGCACATAGATCTCCATGATCTGGTGGTTTAACCATCCGCCCTTGCAGCCCTACAGCGTAACACAAGTTCGGAAACTTGCACCAACTGTGAACTCCTCAAAGACTGCCCGGACATGAGCCAAAGTCCTGGTCACCCACGGTAAAACAACGAGCTCGAACTAAAGGAGAAACCCCATCTAGGCTGAAGAAGGCGCCGAACTTTCGGGATGTTTGCTAACAGTGCGTTAACTGCTTCAGATAAATGCCCACGGTCGGCTTGCTGCGAAAGGTTCTGCCGTACATTGACAGCACCGAGGCGGGCCGGGTCCACGATGTCCAAGCCCATGCCTGTCTGAAGGGTAAGTCGCACCAGAGTTTTTCGCACAGGTTGCATGTCGCCCTGCTTAGCAAGTCCTGGTCCAGCAAGACCGACCGCTCACTCACTGTTCCGTCCGCTCGCCCTACTCACTGTTCCGTCCGCTAGCCCTGGACCTGGACCTCCTGACAAATTTCAAAGGCCAAGAAGTCCTGGCAACGCAGCCGTGGCCACCATAGTCGCAGCCAGTTTTTGCTAGGTTCTCTCCGCCACAAAGGCGTGCTCGGAGACCGACACCTCTACTGCTGTCACTATCCCAGGAGCGCCCGTTGTTTTGGTCTTTCGTAGCATCGCGGCGAGGCGACCCTCCACCATGCCTATGGCTGCTATGATAGCTCGAAGGTCGGACCACCTTAGCGAAGCCGGCCCAGGTCTTCACGAGCTTAGTCCAGCCCATGCTCTGGTTAGCATCTAACACCAGCTACGAGCATGTACACGGCACAGCGCCAGCGCGAGGTCCTCTCCAGCGACTCCAGCTGCCAAGATGCACATGAATAGCGTTCTGCTCATTTGGATTCTCAGCAACCTTCTCTGCCCACGACACCAGTGTCTAGGACCGCGCGGCCGCAGCTCATCCCTCCGCGCAAGCAGGTAAAGCAGATCCGAGTGCCTTCCCGGCCATGCCTCTAGCTTCGCCTCCCCCAGCTACCTGTAGTAGTTGAGGTGGCGTTCCAGGCTGGAGGCTCTGACGGCTTCCTTTTGCTTGACCAGAACCGGAGTCTCAACTTGCTGCACGCACCGGCTTCAAGGCCATCAACCCCGCAAGCTTCGTAACTTGGATCGAAATCACTAGCGAAAGAAGGTAAGGTCGTCATTGAAGTAGTCACGGGCCCAACGATAGACCTTCGCCTCTTCCTTAGCCTGCTGGATCCAATAGTAAACCGCCTCCTGCAGTTTCGGAATCAAAGTTTCGGTCGCTATAGCTACCCCGCCATATCCGACGCCTCCTCTAGCTCCAGCAACGACAGCCAAACCGTTGGTCCTGAAAAGAAGACAGGTCTCCGACCGTAGGTGCGAGCCATGGCTTCTTCGTCTTGGAGTTCTTCCTCGTCGCACTCTTGCAGGAAGTCTGCCCGTGCGGCTTTGGCTGAACCGGTTCTTGGGCGACCCATCTGGTCAGGTCCGGCGGCGGCGGACATTCGCATAGGTCCCGCCTGGCTGTCTAGACAGGTCCATAGTAAAATGCATGGGTCCCGCCTTCCTGTCGTCTAGATAGGCCCGTAGTCAAAAATGCTTGGGTTTCGTCTTGCGGTCTGGACAGGTCCATAGGATCCAGGTAGCCGGGATGGCTCGAAGTATGTGTGTGGGGCCTGAGCACATGTACGCAGCACCGGAACCCCAAAGCTCGTCTTGAGAGGTTCACAAGCACCCAGCAAGACGGAGTGGGAAGGAGGCTCTGCCAGTGACACCGCACAAGTCGCGGTGGGCAGTATACCCGAATGAGCACGGAACCTGGCGCGTCTCACCCTCTCAATGCCGCAGGCTTCGCTTTTCCTCTATGGTCTAACACACCAGACGGTTTCTCGGCTCGCATGCCAGCTGCCGCGAAAAGCGTCTGGCGTGTCTGCTCCTCCATTCTGCTACCGCGATGAGCCTCTGGCGTGCAGTGGGTGTGAGCCTGCGAAGAGCTTGCACCGCCTCTTCCTGGCCCAAGCCGCCTGAAGCCATGGCCATCTTCTGAAGTCCTAGGAGCGAAATCCGTGATTCGCGGGCTCAAGAATATGAGCTGGGTGTTCCAGCTGGTCAGCCTTGCCGTGCCCGGGTCGTCGAGTAACTGGCGGGTCTCGGCTGTCCTGCTCACATCGTTTCTCCTGACCCTCTGTCTTGCTCTCCTTTCGGGCGCTGTGTTGGTGATGAAATTGTCCTTTTCCTCTTCCGTGACTCCCGTTCCCCACCGCCGGCCCGTCCTGCTGCACTGCGACTCCGGCCCTACTTACATGGGCCACAGTCAACCGATTGAGGACCTTGTTTCCGCTGTTTTCTTGTCTCAAGCGACCCGCTTTCCCTTTCTGTGGACCGTGACTCGCTCCTAGCCCCGAGCTCCCCGAGATCGTCCTCCGAGGGCCCTGTGACGAAGAGGCTCCACCTAATGATATGACGTAAACACAAATAGCTGCCTTGGTAGCGGACCGCCAACCCCGAGTTGTCGGCGAGACACCTTGACTGCCCTACTCGGGGTGCATGCCGATCCACATTGCCGTCACGGTCCCAGACCCACAGGCCATTTACCAGCAGATGTGGGCTCTACCCGCCTGTTGCTTTCGGTTCCCTCAAAAGCTCCCCGGCCATTGCCGACCTCCTTGCCCGGGCTGCCGCAACAAACCTTAAAGGGCTTATGTATCCACCGCTGCACACCGTGAATTCCTGAGACACAGCTACCTGTCGCCAACTGCGGAGCTTCGTGCCGATGCCCCCTGACTTTCAGGAAAGTGCCTCGCTGGACTGGTCACTCACAAACTGTTGGCATTCTGGATCCACCCCTGCAGCTGCCCTGTTGCACAGGCCGCCGCGCCGTCTGCCTGCGCGCGATTGCTGCCTACATCTGATTATGTTGCCCAGGGAATAGAAGGATCACTGGGCAAGATATACAGAGTGAGGTTGTAGGTAAGGTTGCCGGTAGCCGCGGATGGAGCTGCGTCCTTTGCCGAGGGACACGCGGCTTTGCATAGCCAACATATATCTCTCTCCTTCTCAAGGGCCCAAACGCCGTGGTAGAGCAGAACGATGCTTCGGGGCTTTATGCACTCCTCCTTCCTTGCCCCCTTCTGCCAACGCTGCGGCGTCGTCTTTGTGCAGCTGTGGTCCAGCCTCATGAATAAAACCCCGTCGTGGAAGCCTCCTCGGCAAAAAGAGGGTTTCTGAGCATTACCTTTTTGGAGATGCCAGAAACGCTGCTCGCCGACTCTTGTGCACCGCACTAGACAGAGCCGGTTCCTTTGAGTTCGTGGACCTTGTTGTCACGCTGCCTCCACTGCTTCTCCTGCGCCCCGCTTTGGGCCCGAGATTGCTGAAGAGTTCGCTGCTGACTTTGACAGGGCCGGCAGGCACCATCTCAAACGGAGGCAGCTACTTGAAGCCGAAGGCCTTGAGAGCCCTTGACGTTGAGCGAACGACCTCGCTCTGACATTGCAAAGGTCGAACGGGCCTGGTCTTGGCCCATACCCATCCAGGTAAAGTCGTTGAGAGACCTTTACAAGAGCTCCACTCTGCAGGCCGTGGGGGAACCGACTTGTCGCAGGCCCGCTCAGCAAAAATTTCCTTGATGCTTGTCGGCGAACCAATGTCACTAGCTGCCAAGCAGATGAATGCACCGCAAAAGCATTTCAGATTGCTGCAACCGTGCATGTCATGTCCTGAAAGCAGAGAACCGGTTTTCTTGAAAACGAAACAAACTACTTTCTTGGAGAATTGGGTCCTGTCCACCTTTTCTGCAATTACTGGAAACTTCGTCCAGCTTCCCTTCCAGTCGATTTCCATAGCTTCGTTCGCATGGCTAGGAAAAGAACGCCATGCCCCTACACAATGTGTAATAAAACTGTAAAGGAGTGTGCAGATCGGAATGCAAAAACTGAAAGTGGGAAGTGACTCCCTTAAGCTCATGTGCGAAATCAGTACCCACACAAGCAACAAGGCATCGACCATCCCACTTAAGCTTGCCCAATCTTGGCATCTCCTGCACGGGCACAGCAAAGACCGACGACCAAGCCAAAGCATGTCGCCGCACAGCGATGCTCAGTCTGAGGGCCTCTGGAAAAAAGGCCGTCACGTTGCTTTTGGAGGCACTGGCATCGTCCGCCTGTCTTGGCCAGATCGACAGGCTGCGACGTGGGCTCAGCGAGGATGCAGTGCTGTAAAGCGCTCACCGAACAGAAGACATCTGCAGAAGTGAGGCACGGCGCGGGAGCCGGGCCGCCTGCACACACTGGGCAAGCACTTCCGCCAGCGCCTTGGTCTATGCAAATTATGGCAGGGACCGCTTCTTTACGAGGCGTTGGCCGCTGAGGCAGAGGCCTCTGTGTCTACACTCGAGCCTCGCATACGGTCGTGTAACCATTCCCTCAGTGGCTCCACATGCGCCCAAGCAAAGAACTTTAGGGCATTCGGATGCACTCATACAAACCATACAAAAGCGCAAATGGCTTCTGGGAAGGCGGCACATTTGCGGAGCTCGTAGCTGCCTAAGCCAAACAAACGAGGAATCGACAAGGGTCATGGATTCTCTCCTCTGCTAAAGCCCTTACATGGCACACATAGCCACATGGCTGTACATCGCTTGGCACGTGACTTCATGGATGTCTGAAGAACATATCCACCAAGCTCCCTGGAAACACATTGACAGTGTCAGAACCCCTTGCTCACCGAGCTTTACTGTTGCATGATCCTGCAGCGCACACAACATGCCTGGCCAAGATCGGCAACTCGTGGCCCCGACCTGTTCCAATCGGAACGAATCTGGACTTACACACTTACACATGTTCTCAGTTGGTGTGCTCCATTTAGTCCAGAAGCATGTCACCAGAGGAGAGGGACGGATGAGAAGCAGATGCACAACTAGTACTCGTTTGCGACCTTGGTTTTGTCATGCTTTGTCATTGTCCATGCAAGCGTACCAGAGTATCGCGGTCCCAACCAGGAACAGTCGAGCCACGAAGGGTGTCCTTCCTCGTCAGAGGGCGGCTGATCTCCCACTGACGGCTTAACCATCGATGTGATGAAAGATCCACCTTGGCTGATGCGCTTGGCATTGCCTTGCCTGCCGCCTCACCGCCTCGCTGCCAAGGTGCCAGACAAGTTCTTCTTGAGGGATGCTAGCAGCGGCATTCCCGGCGCTTCTGCTGGGCTCCTAAGCCCTAGGCCCTAGGCCACGTAGAGGCAAGGATGAGAATGAAGCAACACTCAGGAACTTGTCTAGCATTCCTTCTTTGGGGTCTTTGTGGTCTCTGCCTGATACAAACCTGAACAGCAGCCTTTGCCTCTGGAAGATCGCGGCCAACAAAAGCCTTACACGGAGGTTGCTTCTGGGCCTTGGAGCCTCCAGCTCCAGGACCCAGGCCTCCTCAAGTTCTGAGATCTGCAGCTGCAAAGAGACAAGAAGGATAAGCAATAAAAGCCTGGAAAACCCTTCGAGTCTAGTTCGACATACGGGGAATGCCAGAATAGACTTGCGGAAGTCGAAAGCCCAAAGCTTCTGCCAATTTTTCGCGCTGGGTGGAAAGCCCAAGACGTTCTCATCTGCAAAGTGCCTGAGTATTCTCCCTTCACAAGACTGACTGGATGCTTGATGCTGCTGTCGCTTGGTGTAGGACCTCTTTGTGCATTCTTTGGCACCGGATGCTGCAGAAACTCCCCTTGCATCGCAGGCACATGTACCTGACACCAGGACGAAAACGAACCAAGAGAATTGTTGCGAATGTCATTCAAAAGTACAGTGGTATTTGCCATCGACACAAATCTTTTGCGCTCTACGTGGCTTTCGAACAAGCCTGCCCAATCGAAGGCAGCAAGCACAAAGAGGGCGCTTCGGAAGAGAGGAGGCGCCGACCTCGAAAAGAAAGTGCACACATCATGAATATCACCGGTGTGCCGGCAAATGCAGGGCCTTTTTTCCCCAGCATATGCGTTGCGCTGTTGCGCACTCATGTTGAGGTGAGCAGGGCAGATCACTTCGGGGTCAACTGGATTGCGCATCTCGATGACCTCCCGATGCCTGCAAAGTCAGCCGCTCTCGACACTTCTCGAATGGAAAACTGCGAATACGGCGGTCAACTTGTACGACTCTACAAACAAGAAAGTGTGACAAAGCCCCATTGCTAAAGCTCGGCCGCTCGACTTCTTGGTACCTCGGCTACTTTTTGTCACCTTCATTGGCTTCGTCCTGCAAGCGGCGATGCAATTGGATGTGTAGAATGGCTCCAACTGCCGAAGTAGACAGCGACAGCAAGTCGACAGCAAGCTTGGCGTGAACACGTCCTTCTTCATGCGCTGCCGGATGAGCTGCACAACCTCTTGGAAAGACTTTGCATAGCTACAGCTGGCACCAGCACACCTTCGTCGTAAAAAGCTCCATACACAGTGTAATGTAAGGAAAGGCTCTGGTAATAAAGGATCGGCAGCCAGCCACGTTCCGTTCAATGAGTCTTTAAATAGCTCCACTCTCATCCGAGTAGCTGCGCGGTCCGTCCTTGCTGCAAGCGTTTGCATCTTGCGCTCGACGTCCCGCTTCAAGTCCTGCGGTTCAAATCCGAGTCCTTCAATCCTCGCCGGGCCCCAACAGACGGCTATCCGGGCCCCATACCCAGTTGGGCTTTCGCGGTGCAATGGCCAGCACTGCTTCTGCATCCTGCATTAGTACAAGCGGCGGGGAGAATTGGCTTTAATTTAAAGCTTTGGTCTTGTTCAAAAGGTTTGGTCGACGGCTCGACATGGCGTCAACACCTCACCGGGACAAGGCATGAAAACCTCACCACGACAAGACATCAGCAGCAGCAGCAGCAGCAGCAACAAAGCTGGACACATCATCAGCATCAGCACATGTCAGCACCACGACAAGGCATGAAAACCTGACCACGATGAGGCATGAAAGCCTCACCACGTTCAGGCATCAGCAGCAGCAGCAGCAGCAGGACGCAGCAGCAGCAGCACAACACATCAGCAGCACCAGCACATACCAGCATCAGCACATGGCAAA